ACAAACTGTCTCTCACCTTCTTAATCTCAAAAACATAATCACCCATTCTGAGTTTCCTGGACATGATTTGTAGTTGGAGTCACCCAACTCTAAATGTTGGAAAGCCCTGCGGTAATAGAGAGCACTTTCTAACATTATGAAAGTGGAGTTCCACCTTGTAGGAACATCTTGTCTTAGGCCTCATTTCGATTCCAAGCAACTTTGTTTCACACAATCCAAAAAATTTTGTTTCCTTGCTTGAGAACCCTTGACATATTTTATGCTCTCTCTGATTTTTGAGATTGAAGCATCAATCTCCTTGATTCCCTCTTGGACAATAAGATTAACAATATGAGCAGTGCATCTAATATGGAAAAACTGACCTTCACATAGCAAATCTCTTCTCAAATTTAACTGATTTCTCAAGTAGTCAACACATACATTATTTGCGGAAGCGTTGTCTAAGGTAATACTGAAAAGTTTAGATTCTATTTTCCATTCAAGAAAAAGAGACTGCAATTTCTCAAATAATGCTATCCCTTCATGGGGTGGTGGCATAAAAGAAAAACTAATTATTCTTTTGTGTAAATGCCACTCATTGTCAATATAATGCACAGTCAAACAAATAAAGCCATCGGTGTTTATGGATGTTCAAAGGTCATATGTAAAACAAACTCTGCTAGGGCACTTACTTAATTTTGATCGCATATTACAAAGCTCTTTATTGAATAATTTCTTGCAATCATTCCTTACTGTATTCCTAGAAAACATTTGAACATCCCGACGAAGATAGGTCATAAGTGATCGAACACCTAACCATTCAACACATTGGAAGGGCAAATTATGCATAATTATGCAAGCAGTAAATAAATCATGAAATTATGCATTGTCAAACTTATGATCAGTCATAGAAATAGATGAAGTAGAACAAGTTTGCAATATGAGCTGTCCTATATCACGTAAATCTCTTTTCTTGCAATTTTGCAAGTTTCTCCTTAAGTTACTAGTGCCATTTTTACTATCACATAAGTATTGAGCACCACATCTTTTGCATTTACACCTTTGTTTACCATCTGTAGGATTAGGTAACATCTCAAAATGACCCCATACCTTGGAAGTCATCCTTTTACGCTTCTTAATTACAACTGAATCATCGTCACATGCATCATCAGATGCCTCTAGGCCCTCTACCACATTGTCTTCAATGTGAACTTCATCATTTTCTTGAATATAATTTTCAAGAAGTGTGTTTGAATCCTCCATCTATTGCAAAAATTATAACCAATTATACAAATGAAAAGTGAAAAAGTACCTAAAGAAATATCCAAGCAACTAAAAAATCAAGTTGCATATAGCCCACTAACAACAGCCAACAGGCAACAAGCCAACGACAAATGATAATCAGTGAATTGCATATAGCATTATAACCCACTTCCAACAGCCAACAGGCAACATGCAACATAGAATTCCAATTTCTAATATCTCGTAAGTTATAAGTCATAACACTGATAACATCATAACAGCCACAAGGCCCACAAGGCCACAACAAGTCACTAAGTTAGCAAGCAAAATAATACATATTGCCAATTTTCCATAACAGATAATCGAAGAAAGCCAAAGGAATTGGTACCAAAAAGTCAGAATTTTTAAAACCCTAACTCCCTAAAGCTGAATTTCAACACAAATCTGATTATGATTTCATAATAAGATTATAACTGTATCTTAAGATAAAAATCCCTAAAAAACTTAATAGATAAAAACACAAAATGTAAAGCCCTAATCGGTATTTCAAAGCCACAAGCCCACAACAACTTCAAATTGGAAGGAAGAAGCGAAGAACCAAATAACTCACAAATACCACTCTAATTTCTAGTAGTAGCACTAGCTTAGTAACAAAAAATCAAAAACAAAAATGGAAAACTCATAAATTCATAAGTCACAAAGAATCAAAGATAACCGAAAGAAAGTTAACCAAAAAATCAAACCAATAAGAGGATGCGTCGATGAGTCAATGACTAAGAGTCGAAGAGCCGCAGAGGAGAAAATCTTCGCGAAATCGAGCAGCCCTACTTCCCTAGCTTAGAGGATGTTTCTCACTTTCTCGCTCGAAGAGAGACGAACGACGAATATTTTGTCTCTCGATCGCATCAAAGTCTAGTTAAATGCCCTAAGGATAAAATTGTAAATTACTTGGCAAGGGGGCAAACCGCGAGCAGCGAGCGCGACTGGCCAGTTCCGCAAAAACATCCTGAACCCGGGTTGAAACGGGTCATTTTCGGGTTACCCGGGTTGACCCGAACCCGACCCGAAATTGTATACGGGTCAAAATCCTAAACCCGAAATTGTATACGGTTACCCGGATTGACCCTAACCCGAATTTCTCGGATCGGGTTCATGTCGGGTTTTCGGGTCGTGTCATATATTGACAGCCCTATAGATGATTAATTGTTTTGGACTAATGACTATAAATTACATAAGTTTTCATAAGTAGACTTTTCTATATTTGATGTCGATTAGAGTATATGCATCCTTATATCTCAGCCGAGCTTATAGGAATATAAATGAGGTTTATGACCTTCCTAAGATTATCATATCTCTATAAAAGCTGGAATGCTAAACATCCTATGTCTATGCATGAGTTTCAACTCAACACTTCTAATTATTCTAATATTTCTCTATCGAGGTAATATATCACACTTAATTTGAACTACACACATTATCATTATATGCATTAAATTAAAAATAGGAGATACTGAAAATATGCATTATTCATTCAAAGCATAAGAGTCTACATTAGTACTTGCAAAGAATTCACGTCATTAGCCCAAAACAAGGAAATTAGCTAGTCTTAGAAATAAAAATAAATAAATAAGATTTAATAGCTCGTATATAAGAGAAAGTAAAAGTATATAAGAGAAATTAGATATCACCCGGATAAAACAACACACTCTCCACACTCCTTTCTCTTCCAAATATCTAATTGATTACAAATAAATAGGCCAAAGATCTCCCTAAGGAAGTATCTTTTTCTCTTTTGACCTCTCTTAGACTTGACTCTAAGGGGGCACTACACTTAAGCCCCCAACCCCACTAAAAATAATAGAACTTAACTCAAAATGAAATAAAAAACTATTCATTCTAGTATAGAAATGGACTCAAGCACTATGGCGCTCGACATATTAGCAATGTAGTGTTATAGAATGAACTAGCACCTTGACATTGCTAGGCTTGTTCCATTGTGGCATTGAACCAAGTTAGTGCATTTATTGGCTAAATCATAATAGCTTTTGGCTAAGTTGGTGCGGCTCCTTATTTCAACAATTGCTCCACCGTAGCGCTATAAAATTGACCACTACGACACTTGAATGTGAAATACAACACTATGATGTTATACAGTTTGGAGCTCCAGTGCTCAAATTCTTAAGACTCTTGCACTGTAATGCTAATTTTTAATATGAGTTCCCTTACAAGTAAATTAATAGAATTAATATATATTTTGATTTATAAGATGATAAATATTCTATGCATTTAGAAAATTAAGTAGGTTAGAGAGAAGGTTAAGGAGATTGATAAATTAGGATGAAATTATGGTATTCATGTAGGAGTCATATTAGAAATGATGTTAAGTGTAATTATAAATAAGAGTTTGAAGGATAATGTTATAAAAATTAATAGAATTAGAGATACAATTATAGATTTAAAGATAATGTTATAAAAATTAATAGAATTAGAGTTATAATTATAGATTTAAAGATTGCTCTTGATGATAATATTATTGATATTATAAGTGCTTATGCTCCTTAAGTAGGTGTGGATATATGTTCAAAATTAAAATTTTATAATTACTTAAAAGAATTAATACAAAAGATACCTTTTGAAAAAGAGTTTTTATTGGTGGATATTTAAATATATATGTTGGTAGAAAGGTATAAACTTTTAAGAGCATGCACATTGGATTTGGTTTTGAAGTTACTAATGAATGTGGTAGGACTATATTAGATTTTTTTTTAACTTATGATTTTGTAATTGCTAATATCTTGTTTAAGAAAAGAGAGAAATATCTCATAACTTATAAGAATGAATATAATAAAACTCAGATTGATTTTTTTTTTCTATAAGAAAAATAGTTCATTTAGATTTCAAAGATTGTAAAGTTTTTTATATAATCAACCTTATTTCCTTTTAGATCCTAGTAGTATTGAGACCATAATATCTATGCTATATTTTTTAAAAACCACTTTGGTTCTCCTTAGTTTGCATCACTAACATGCATATATTTTTTTTACTAATATCTTAATTAACTTGGCTCTAAGTATTATCATACTTCCATGATAGAACTACTTACCCCCCTTATTGTACTTTTATGATTAATAAAATTTTTAAAATCATATTAATTTACTTCTACTAAATTGAAATATTAATAACAATTATAATTAGAATAAAAATTTTCAATATTTTTTTATATATTTACAAGACATACATCTTTCAATTAAAAATTATAAATTTAAATAATTTCTCAATCTAATTTTTATTTTTAGCGATTTAATTAAAATAAAATATTCCTAAATTATTTTGTTTTGAAATGAATGAGAAATCGTAGCGATTTTTCAGAACAGCCGCTAGTTTTCACTGACTTTAACCAATTTTATGCGAACATAATTTTGAAATGCTATCAAATTTCATTGACTGTGATTAGAAAAAACCAAAAAAAAAAAAAAAAAAAAAAAAAATTGGACCAACCGATCGGCTCGCGAGACGTCGATTTTGTTGGCGTCATTCGAACCGATACTTTACCGGTCCAACCCAGAAATATCGGACCCGATGCGACATCAAAAAACCGGTCCGAAATCTAAACACGTGTACGTTCAGATCACCTGAACAAGAACATGTCTTGATCAGACGGTAGAGAGTAGACCACGGTGGTAATCCTAGTAATCGTCCTTCAACCAATCACAACAACGCGCATTGTTCTAAGTTTAAAAGGCGTTTCGGTCGACACCTATTTATACGGTCCACCGCTATCTCTGTCATTTAAAAGGAAAAATTGAAGGGCGTATTTTTCTTTGTAGCGTCGTCGTTCTCCTCACGAGCTAGGGTTTGCTTTTGGATTGTGTCCGACATGAGCTCTACTGCATCTACCAAGGGAGGGCGTGGCAAGGCCAAAGCCACGAAGTCTGTATCTAGATCTCATAAGGCTGGTTTGCAGTTCCCCGTTGGGAGGATTGCTCGCTTCCTTAAGGCTGGCAAGTACGCTGAACGTGTTGGTGCCGGCGCTCCCGTATATCTTTCTGCCGTCCTTGAGTATCTAGCTGCTGAGGTTGGTATACTGATCTGTTTTTGAAGGAGTTAGGTTTTTTTTTCCTGCAATATTTGGCTGAAGATGGTCTTATTGCTTCTATAATCTAGGTTCTTGAGTTGGCGGGGAATGCAGCGAGAGACAATAAGAAGAATAGGATTGTACCTAGACACATTCAGCTTGCCGTGAGGAATGATGAGGAACTTAGCAAGCTGTTGGGAACTGTGACAATCGCTAATGGTGGTGTTCTGCCAAACATACACCAGACCTTACTGCCGAAGAAGACGGGAAAAGGGAAGGGGGATATTGGTTCAGCTTCGCAGGAGTTTTGATTTTTTTTTTTTTTTTTTTTTGACTATTTGCTGTTATGTGACTGAATTTTGGTTTAGCATTTAGTTGGTTCTTGTTTATACAGTTTATCCGTAATGCACATCTTTTCTGAAATCTTTGTATGTTTAACTCTGGAAAAGTATTATGAGATAAGCATTTCTGCTCGCTGAAGTGTCAATGTTTTGCTGGTTGCATTATTATATGATTGATGATGCTGTTTCAGCTGTATTATTCTTGATTAATGTCAATTTTATAAATAATTATCGAAAGTTGAGCCACGATCGTGACTAGTTTTTTCTTTGTTTGCCTTCAAGCTTATCTCTATTTGTTTTAATGTGTTACCCTAATTTGTTCTCTGATAAAATATTTTTGTTTTAATGTTGGGGAGATTTTCGTTGATCTAAATAAGCCCAGTAAATGTTTTTAACTATGCGGCGTTAGTCATTTTCAATTGTTTATTTTTACTTCGTCTCTCTCCCCCTTAGGTAGGATAATATTGGCAGCCATGGACCTTGTGATTGATTACTACTGTTTGCCATTGTTGGCTGCAGAATGATTGTAATTTTTGCTCTTGCTTTAAATTGATCTTGTTATTAATCTAACTGTTTGAAATGCTGATTGATTACGATTGGTTAATAGTGGGTAACATTAGATTTTTTTTTTTTAAATTTTGCTAAATGAGTAACTTCTTAGTCTTTCTTGAGTTGCATTGCCTCTTAATTTTGATAAGTTATTGTATACTTCTACATTACATAATGTGAGTTGTTATTTGCCATTGATGGCATTTGCCTAATTGCTGTTGTTGTTGTTTGATGATGTTAGTTGTTAAAGTTGATTGTTTAGTTCTTCAGAGATGTTGCTTCTTTAGAAGGTATTTGTTCTTTTGTGTGAAATTTGGTGTTATTTGATCTTGGCTAAAAGAGCAATTAAGGATAACTGAATTTTTTCCTTTGAAGGTAGTCATCAGTTTGACAATCTTTTACGTGTAGTCTGATGTTTTATCTTATTGATAACCTCTTCAATTGAATACTCAAACACTTTCAAAGGAAAAAATTCCTAAGATCTCTCATGCCTCTTCTATCTTAGATTTCAGACTTATATCTCTATGCAATGTATTTTATAAGATTGTGGCTAAACTTTTGGCCAACAGGCTCAAGCCCATCCTTCCTTTTATCATTCATGATAATTAGGCTAGTTTCATTCACAAAAGATGCTCGACAAATAATATTATTTTCGCCACTGAGATTCTCAAGGACTTTAAAAAGCTTCAAGAATTATTTTTTTGGTGCCAAGCTCGATATTAAGAAAGTATTTGACTCGGTTTCTTGGATATTCTTACTTAATAGGATGAGGCAGAACGGTTTTCTTGAGATTTTTATCAGGTGGATTAAAGGTTGCATTTTGAATGTTCATTTCTCCATTTGTCTTTAATGGTTTTGTGGAAGGCTTCTTCAACTCTACCTCGGGTCTCCGTCGGGGTTGCCCACTATCCTCTTTGCTTTTTTGTATAGTTATGGATGCTTTATCTTGAACCTTGATTTCCTCGCCTCCCATGAATCTATTTAAAAGAGTTGAGTCTTATGTGCTTAGTTTTAATCACTTGTTATATGTGGATGACTTGTCTTTGGAGAGGCTAATGCTTCCAATGCTTCCTCTCTTAAAAAAGTTTTGATCAGTTTTGACAATGCCTCGGGTCTCATTGCTAATTTCGCCAAAAGCACTATTCTTTTCTCCAAAATGCCCCACATCAATTGATCTCTAATATTTGTGACATTCTCAATATTTCACATGTTGACAACATCCTTCATTATTTGGGGTTTATAACTCTTAAATTTTATAACTTTCAACCTTTATTGAGCAAGATTTTTGTTCTGCTTGAAGGTTGAAAAGTAATTTTTTTTATTTTGTAGATAGGGTTCAATTTCTTAAGTTTATTATTGTCAATACTATAGCTTATTGGATCAAAGGATACATCATACCTAAAGCTATTTTAAAGGCATTTCTAAGCTTTGATCTAGGTTCTTATATCTTGGAGATATTAAGGGGAAGAAATTTCATCTGATCGCTTGGAAATCCACCTCTCTTCCTAAGCCTTTTGGCAGGCTGGGTATTCCTTTTGAATCCATGTATCATGGGAGGCTTGCTTTTTTATATGGCTATTGTTTTCTCAAAATTTTATTATTAGATCTTGGATTAGAGTTAAGTATATTTCCCCTTGGACAAAGCCCCCAACTTCAGCCACCAAATTTTGGAAGCACACTTGCCTCATTGCTAGCTAAATATTGGACTAAATTTCATTCTCTATTGAGCCGGATTGTAGCTTCTCGATGTTTTGGGACCCTTGTTGTAGTGGTAAATTTCTTGCGGATTTTTTCGACCCCCCAAGTCTCTCCAGGATGTTGGTTAAAGATTTTTTGTGGGGCAACCGATGGGCTCTTCCTGATTTTATCCCAGAGCATGTTCGTAAATTGATCCCCTCTATTCCTCCTATCTTGGAGCAACCGGCAATTGCTTAGGATGGCTCCAATAATCAAGTTTTTAAGAATTTTACTGCTCATTTTTATGATAACCTTAAAAGGGTGCCTTGGTTCAAATTTATATGGCATAAACAACATTGCCTCCGTTTCTCAGTCTTTGCATGGATGGCTGTCCTTATAAAGCTTAAAACAATTGATAATCTCCTTAGGAGATTAATTAAAGTTAGGACGGAATGCTTTTTTTGCAATTTTTGCACATGAATCTCATAAACACTTTTTTTTCGATTGCGATTTCTTGTTTATGGTGATCTTTGCTCTTATTCCCTCATTGAGTTCTTTTCTTCTTAGGCCAAATGTGCTGCATGTTTTTAATTATCTTGAGCATTCACCTTTACTTAATCAATGGTAGAAAAAGTTCACTTTCTTGGTAATTTGTTGCGCCATATATCACCTTTGGAGAGAAAGAAATAGGCGAGTATTCTCTAGTAAATGGGAGAGTCCTGGCACTATTACCTTTATCATCAAGAATGCAGTTAGATACAAAATCAAGGGATGGAAGCATTTTGGTCATATTAAAATGCATTTTTCTGATTTTTTCTTATTCTTCTTGGATTTTTTGGGTTTGGTATACGGTTGTTAGCCGATTTTTTATTGGAATTTTGGATTTGGACGATGATAAGTGTGGCCTTTCCCATACCATCTTGCTGTTTGGAAGGCCATTGCGGCAACCACTACGAATCTTATGGTTTGCCTATGTTGGTAGGCTTTAGATATTTGTTGGCTCTTCTGGAGGTCCTCGTGCTGGCCTTTATCTCTTGGCTGGCCTTGTGGCAATCGTAGCTCATCTAGATTTACTCTGTCACTCGCTACTACTACAAAATTCTTCTGAATTCTGATGTCTTCTACGGGTTAATTGGCCACTTTTCCTTAGTCATGTTTTTGTCTGCTACTCAATTGCCTTCTTTCTTCGACAAAGTTGAGTTAGTCATTTTTTGGTGTTCCGTTGGAGCATTTTTATGTTTTTGCTGAGGTTCTCAGTATTTTATATTTATCTTCTTATATTGTAATTGTTATGTTTTTTCCAATGTTTTGAAAGCCGGACTGGACCGGCCGGTTCGACCTTCCGGTTCGTTGTCCGGTCCGGTTTTCACAACCTTGATTTTTTCATCATATTTTATAAAATGAGCTATGCTTTAAAATTTCCCAAAAAAAGAATCTTCTTTATCAAACTTGTGCGCATGGTAAGGCCTTCTAAGGTAAGAGTCACCTAAATAAGGATTTCATCATTAAAGGAGGCGGGGAAGGCATGGGCTCTAGTAGTTGCTAAAACTTAAGCTTTGGAAGGGTTGAGCTAAAATTTGGCTCCACCAACACCTCAATGTTGTCGCTTATTTATACCTCAATAGCCTTTGCCATAGCCTTGACCACCATTGGAGATGGTGCTCATTGCTCCATTATACTTGCTGTTAGGGAGTTGATGCTATGGCAAATAGTGAAGGATCAACAACATAGAACTTCTTAATCTAAAAAAATTTATGGAATTGTCAGTAATTAGCCTCATTGAAGCATTGTCCTCGTATTAAAGATGGATGCCGGTTGTGTTAAAAGCTCTGCATAAAATTTATTTGGTGGGTGTCCTACTAACTCACTTTAAGTTAATGGGCTCGTTTGTTAGAAATAAAATGGGTGTAAAGTATTGTAAATGCATAAATTTTAAAAATATTAGTGTTTGGGTGGATGAAAAGGAATGCAAAGTAAAGTTAAACGTAAACCTCCATCGTCAACTATCACTGTCAGTCGCCGATGCTCGCCACTGGCCAACATTGCCATAGTGGCAAGTCTTTGCCAGTTGCAAAAAGTCACCACCATTGTCGTTGGCTTCTGCCTTCATTGTAACTTGCTATCGACCATCACCACCATCGACTGCCACAACCTTTTGTCGATCACCACTGTTAGTAGCCACTGCCCATCACTACCATCGCCAATTGCCTTCATCTTTGAACTTACACTACGTTTATTTTACTTAAAAAAATAATAAAAAAATTCACTTACATTTACTTTACACTCATTAAATAATTCCGAAGTTTTCTTTTCATACAATATTCTTTTATACTGCCTTCTTTTTATACTCCATTCTTTTTGAGCCAACTAAATAGCCCCTAAGCGAACGGTTGGCTTGCTAGTGGATGATGCTACTCTACACAGACATCACTTGCTCAAAATTCTAAAAATACTTGCCCTTACCTTCATCTTGGCCTACAACTAGCTTGACCATTGCAAGAGTAGGTGTGTTTTAGCATAAGCCACCATTTTAGTAGCTATGCTCGCAATTACTCAAGTGGAGGTCGTCTCACTCATGTTGCCTGAACTAGATGGCATAACTACTTTCCCTAAGCTTCTCCTAATTGACAATGCTCTACTTGCCTTTACCTTCTCTACCTCGGATACAAGTGACACTTTCTAATTTGCCCTCTGGTCAGCAGACTCACTCGCCTTTGCGGTCTCCACCCCCTTTATCTTGGGAGAAACAAACTCCACCTCATTTTCTTCCAATTTATATTTGTGCATAACAACCTTTTTTAGCTTCTTAAGGCTCGACTCAACCAATTTAGTTGGATCTAAATCATCCATTTGAAGACAGACAGTCATAATTACAAAACAAAAAAAGTAAATAATAAAGTAGCACTGCACCCCTCAAGTCATTTATAGATAATGAAGGGATCTTTTTGAGCAATCTATAAAATACCCAATGCTATAATAGATATAAGCTAGTAACTTCT